GTAGAGACATTTCTAAATGTATTGACAGAAGTAAAACAATCTATACACTTTGACTTGGAATTCTATACAATCTAAATCTATTCTGTAAAATCTTCAAGAATTTCCTGTTCTATACAGCTTTTAAATTCTATTCTCTACGGTTTTAGTTCTATACAATTTTCTATTCTCTATGCTTTTAAAACACTAAGAAATAAACGTGACTAGCACCTAATGGGGCGTACAGGCCCTCATCCAAATCATCAGCAAAGATATTAAAGAGAACTGGGCCCAGCACTGACCCCTGGGGAACACCACTAGTGACCAGAGCCAACTGGATGTGGCACCGTTCACCACCACTCTCTGGGCCATCCAGCCAGTTCTTAGCCCAGCAGAGAGTGCCCCTGTCCAAGCTGTGGGCTGCAGCTTTTCAGGAGTGTGCTATGGAAGACAGTGTCAAAAGCTTTGCTGAAGTCCAGGTAGACTAACTACATTCACAGCCTTCCCCTCATCCACCAGGTGTGTCACCTGATCATAAAAGGAGATCAGGTTGGTCAGACAGGACCTGCCCTTCCTAAACCCATCGCTGGGTCTGATCCCTTGTCCATCCTGCAGGTGCTGTGTGACTGCACTGAGGATGATCTGCTCCATGACTTTGCCAGACACTGAGGTCAGGCACATGATTGGATATTCCTTCAGATAGAAACAACAGCAGTTGCCTTTCTTAGAAAATAAAGATCTATAGCTGGAACTACTACTAAAATTGCCAGGGAAGTTAATTGTCATATTGGTGGTTCTCTGATAATAGTTTAGTAACTCTTTTCCCATTTTTAAGTCATTCCCCTGCACTACAATAATCTGCCTCGTTTTTGATTTCACATCCCTACTTCAAAGTTAAAGCCCATTTATGTGTCACCTCCATCCTCATGGTTTGTGTTAATTTTATTTCACATTACTCAAATGTGAAATAGAAATCAAAATAAAAGTGCACTGACTTTTTTGGTCCTGGTGGATTCTCTGTAAATAAGGAGGGAACAGACTTATTTTAAAGAAAAAAAGTCTTTCCAAATATCTATAGATATTTATGCACATAAATATATATGTTACATAAATATGTAATGATGTATAAACAGATAAAGATATATACATATGTAATATCTTTGTGACACTAAAAATGAAAAGCACTATTTGTTGTAATCCATACTAAGCTGTAACAGCACTACAAGAGTTAATTACTTAGACCAGCAGGCTGTGAAAGGAACAATCCTGTAGGAAATGTGGAGTGTACATTATTTCCTTAGTGATCTCTGCTTCCATGGAAACAATTTCTCAGCACAATTCGAAACCTCATAAAAATAGGGCAGTAGGTCTATGTAAAACAGCAAGACATTTACAATTAAATGACCCAAATGCTTTTATCTGGGCCATTAAATACTTCGTCCAGCATCAAACACCACTAGTGTTCCCTGGGATGTTAACCAGCAGCTCTTTCCCATGCACCAGCTCTGTGGGGCCTGTCCCTCACCTCCCTGGGGGGTGCACAGCACCAGCACAGCACCCTTCCCTCCCCTTGCAGGTACCAGGGCACACAGCTCTGCCACACCACACTTCTGGGGTGCACTGTCCACCTTACCCATGTGGGTCCTCCAGGCTCAGCAGAGCCAAGTGTCTCCAGCACAGCAGCAAAGAGTCAGGATGACTAATAGACCCAGAAGATCCCGATGATGCAGATGAGGATCTTCAGGATCTCTGGGGTTGTCTATGCAAACAAACCCCTTACATTGCTTACTGAGCCAGGACTCTGTGGAGTGTGAGAAATACTGGGCCCCCGTCCCAGCATCCCTGCCCCTGACTCCCACTGGATGATGTTCTCAAGGAGGCTGAAGCAGAGGCTATGTAAGAACAGATGAAGAAACAAGTCCATACCTAGCTACACAGGTACTGCCCAAGAAGTGCTCACTAGCCGCAAGTTCACACGCACTAGTAACCGTTTTGCTCTCGGTTCCAAACCTTTCCTGCATTCGCTGTACCAAAGCTCCCTCTGGTGGAACTGAAGGAACTTCCAGCCCTTGGATATTGCCACCCACTCGGAATAAAGAAATTCCAGAGCTGGCGCTCAGAGACAGGAGACAACCACAAACATGGACACAGCCTTCAGGGTATTGCATACACAGGCTTTATTAGCAGGCTCTTGTCTATCATCAGTCAGGAAAAGCAAAGAAGCAAAAGAAAAAAGTACTTAATATCAATGGCAGCAGCATTAATTTTTGTTTGGTCTTGGGGTTTGATTGTTTTCCTCAACTGTTCTTGGAAAGTTACTTATTTCAAAAGAAATAAATATGGGTGTTCCCTCCCCCTTGCACACAGGATCTGTATCCTTGGGAAGCAGCACTGCTGGGATCTGGGAGAGCAAACTAGGCTCAGCCAGAAAATGCCCATAAAGGACATTTGCCAGAAGTGACATATTTGGGATTTGTTTTGTTTGTTTCTTCCCTTCTTAAACTGTTGACTCTTCCAGTCTTAACTGTATAATTGTACTTGCTGCTCAGCCATTTCCCACCTCCTGAGCCGCAGCTTGGCAAGGTGGAACACTGGTCTTAGAGAAAGGAACAGTGGTTAGTCCATACAGGTATCCTGAGACAAAACCTGGGTGGGGAAATAAAAAGCTTCACGATAAAGATGTTCATGCCTGATATGTATGTGGTAGCAGAAGTGGTATATTAGTCAAACAGACTCCTATCTCCTGGGAAGCAACTTCCAAACTGGCATTAGTACCCACACAGTCAACATAAAGGATGAGAAGTAGGTTAGTGATGTTCTTACCACTGCTGCTGCCAGCAGAATAATTACTCAGCATCACAGCTGTGCTCTTCCCAATTCCCACACAATTCCATGTGCACGACAGGATCCTGCTGGTATGAGCAGTGGATTTTGTCCCACACCAACCTGCTAATGAACTCTTACAAAATGTGGAGTATTTGTGCAAGCCAAAGGCTCAACACTGCACCATGTCCTCTTCTCAAACTGCCTCAAGTGTGTTACTCCAACCTCTCCTGGTGCAATTGCACTGTTAAATGCAATTAGCACAACTGTACTCCAACTCTTTGTAATCATTAAGGAGAGAAGCAACCAGGAGTTACCACCACTTAAATGGTTGGAAATAGACCATATGTGGACAACAAACAGTATCTACTTCACAGTGCTGCTACACAAGAGGCTCAAAATTCTCCTCCTGCCGAGCAGAACTAATTAGAGCTTCAGTCTGTACATTGGGTGGTTAGAGTAACCTGTGCAGAACTGTAGCTGAACAGCAGAGCACTCCGTGACTTAGCAGGGAGCACTGCTTCCTCCCCAGGAGTGTAGTCTTAACTAGAAATACAGAAGCTCATGCAGTATTGGTAGGTAGGAAGTCCCAAAGATGACAGCAAACGCGGACCAAGTCCACGTGCCATACACAGATGGATACACCAGGGTGGTAAGTTACACACAGCAGTGGGCTTAACACTGCACACCAGCAGGTCTGAAGATAGGAGAGAGCACAGAACATTCACCAGTGTTTGAGTCCACAGCTCTCCAGTCTGGGAAAATCACTGAGTGTCAGGAGCTCACATTTTCATCCAATCAGGTTCTGCACCTTGCCCGTAGTGACAGAGACACACATTCCATGAGGCCTGATAAAAGCCTACCCTTAGCATCCTGTGAAGGTGTTCCCTCCTTGGGATGCACCTCCATGATCTGAAAGCTTCTCAAACTCTTTATACAAATGAAAAGCTGAAACATAGAAAATCTTAAAACTCCATTTATGTTACACAGAACTAGATATATACACACATATATATTTGCTTAAAATAAAAACTGAGTCCTTTGTCTCCTTTCTAGATACAAACTCAAGGGCTTTGCTTCAGGCTTTCAAATATATTTTAGAGCTCTGAGAAGCTTTGCCCAAGATAAATCTGAGTCAATAGTAATAACTGTAAAATTAAGTTTCCTTAGGATTTAGAAAGCAAAATTTCAAGCCCATTTTCTCTACAGATTCACAGTGATACAGCTCACAAAACACTTCCAAGTTGCAACTGGGAAACTTCTCAATCAAGATCAATCTGTGACTGATTTCTCTAAATATACACCTGTATGGAACTATCACCAAGGAACTGATACAGAACTGTTCTATTGAGCTATACATCAGAGAAAAGACTCTGGATATAAAAGTCAGAATTTTTTTCTTTAAAAGCACAAATACTTTTCTGTTTGTTGCACTCAGCTTGGGATCAATCAACAGCTCTGGTTTCCATAGGAAACAGTGGCAATTAGGAGTGGACAAACCACAATGATCTGGAGAACATCAAACCTCCCTGTAGAATGGAAGGTCAGAAAGATTCAACCTGTAGTAAGGCAGGAGTTAGCATTTCCACTGGAAACAAGCACAGCCACTACTGAGAAGGCATGAGAACTAGGCAGCTTTTTCTCCCCAACACAGCAGCAACGTGGCAAAGAACATGCCAAAAAGCTACTTGTCCATCAGGATCAAGAGGGGAACGTAATTAATAAAACCAAAAATTTGGGTGATGTGTTAAGCTACAACTGACTAAAACTTCAGGCTGGACACCAGGAAAGTCTGAGCTCCAAAATTCTCATTTCAGTTAATTCTCTTTTGTGAACTCATTCAAACTCACAATCTCTAAAGCATCAAGGAACAAATTCACTCTGAGTCAGATGTACCTGGAGGTAACAAATAAAGAGAAAATTCCCAAACTGAACGACTTGTGAGAGGACAAACTCTCCTTGTAGACTGAAGCACAGTACTCCTGCCAGTCCTTCCCAAACGCAGACTGTTGGGCAACCAGTCATTCCCTGTTAGCACCAAACATTCCTTGGGCACTCAGGTCTCAGATCACAGCGAAAAGATGTCGTGGCAACAGTCACCGTAACATGGGTAACAGTTCTAAAGAGCTGATAGAATGGAGAGGAGGGGAAGAAATTAGAAAAGAGAATCCACATGCCCTAATTTTGTTTCACCCAAGCCATCACACCGGTAATTCCTGTGAGGATTCCTTCTCACTTCCGCTGGCATTCTCCTTCTTCTCACTCTTGTACGTGGAAAGGAACAAGTTCTCTATCTGAGTCAAGAACTCCTCAGCAATGAAGCAATTCGTGACCTTGTCCAAAGTCTTTCTCATGCACTCCAAAAGCTAGTCAAGAGAAAAGGAGGTTTTTTTGAAATTCACTTTTTTTCTGAGAGGTTTTTTGTTTACCCTTTTAGTATTCCAAAGGGATGGTTATTTATTTGTTTATTATTAACACCACAAAATTGTTCAACTGTACAACATAAATGTTCAAGGAACAGTCACACAGGAGCACATGGGTGATTCAAACCCAGTTCTCCGAAGCCAATTACACAACAGCTAAATTCCAGAGCATTCTATGAACTCAAGTTGGAGCCTGGAGCAAAGAAGACTGAGGAGAGACCTCACTGCTGTGTACAACTGCCTCATGAGGGGAAGTGGAGGGACAGGCACTGGTCTCTTCTCTCTGGTGACCAGTGACAGGACCCGAGGGAATTGCCTGAAGTTGTGTCAGGGGAAGTTTAGGTTAGATATTAGAAAAAGGTTCTTCCCCCAGAGGGTGTTTGGGCACTGGAACAGCTTCCCAGGGCAGTGGTCACAGCCCCAAGTCTGACAGAGCTCAAGAAATGCTTGGACAGTGCTCTCAGGCACATGGTGTGATGCTCAGGGATGTCCTGGGCAGGGCCAGGAAGTGCACTTGGTGATTTCCTGTGGGTCTTTTCCAACTCTGAATATTCTGTAATTCTGCAATTTACACTGCTTATGAGCTGAAGTCATGTTGAGAGGAGACAAAAAAATTCCATGTGGGTAAATACTGTGTACAAGTTCTCTGTTTATGTCTCGCTTTGGGCAGACGTTGTGTGTTGCTTGTGCAATAAAGTTAGAGCTGTCATTAGTCAGAGTTGGCAGCAGTGACTGCACTGACTGCAGAACTACCATTCCCACCTTTCCATGACAAACATGGCACACCTCTGACTTGTAAAAGCATAATTGCAGGTGACTTCTGCTGACATAAAACATGTATACATTTTCAAAAAAAACATTTGAAAAGCTACAAGAAAACTTACTTTCTGCAAACAAGTCAGGTCTGAATCTCTGTGAAAAATTTTATCCATGGGGACACTGCTGTTGGGAGGAAAACAAAGAGGTATGCTGGAGAAAGCAGCCACACGTCTCCACTGAAACAATGAGCAGGCACAAATTCCAGACTGGCCGTGGTTTGCACAAGCAGCAGGAACATACCTGTGGCAGGATCTATATTTTTCAATGATCCACCTTGTTTTTTCAAATACTAGTTCCCACTGAGGCTCCTCCAACATCTGCTGCACCTCAAATTTGTAGGGCAGACCTGCAACCAATGCAACATCACCAGTCAGTGTTGTTACTACCCTCCACTGAGTTTCTTGCTTTAGTTTTAGGTGCAATCACTTTCTTCCCCGGAACTCTTCCTCACTTACTCCTGACTGCAGAAGTCTGCAGTCCTGTTCCTTGACAACACTAAGGAGGTTAAAGGAAAAGGATGACGTGTTTTGGATTCCACATTTAATCCTGGTGGGAGCAGGAACAAATCTGTTCTCCCTGCCCTCAGCAATTCCCCATGCGAAAAAGAAGTACAAAGAAACCTACAACTAACAGAGAAATGGCAAAATTAATTGAGTGTTTAGAACTTAGCACTTCGGTTGCCTCTTAAAGATTTATGTGGCTGTTAAGTGAGTAAAATAGGTTTGGTTTTTATGTATGAAGTGCTGACTGTTGTTCTCCATTTCAGAGGAATTTTGCTCCGAAGAAAAGAAATTCTTCTAGTTTACTGCAGATTGGGGATGAGAAATTTAGAAAGTATTTTAAAGGAACATCAGAAAATCATTTGCAGGTTAACAATTCAGGTACCAAAAATCAGGGAGAGACTGTAAATTTCAGTAAGTCATTTCAAAAGAGGCAGAGGAGATTCCATTTTGTAAGACCTGGATTTCAGAAGCTAAAGAGATAGGAAATACTCTCAAGACCAAAAATGTGACTACAAAAATGTCAACTTCTCAGGGCAATAAACCTTGTCAGTATTTTGACTCCCATCTCCAAGGGTGGGTTGTGTGGGAAATGAGGATAAACTACAGGACTGTCAGTGTGGTAAACAGGAATGAGTGCACAGATGTGGCCACTGCTGCACCTCCCCCAGGACTGAGCAGCAAGTCTCCAGACAGATGGCCTCCCTTGCTTACTTCACAAGAAAAAACAGAGGGAGAACTGTGGGCTCACATGGCCTTGGCTATTGCCTTGCCAAGAAAACTGAAAACCTTGGAATGTGGATGTAAAAATCAGGACTTAGGGGGAGGAGGAGAGAGAGAGACCAAAACCATCCACTGCTATCAGGGGAATTTCCCCTCATGTGAATGTCAGGAAATGAGCAGAACATCTGATCATCACTTGCAATACCATCAGTTTTATATGGGATGTTCTGACCTGCTCAAGAAAGGAAAAGATGCTTTTTCATTAGATGCAAATGACGTTTGTAACCAAGAATTTGTTCCCTTGGGTTGGGGTTGCTGCCAGCACACCATTCCAGCTTTCCTGGACAGCTGGCAAATTTGATCCTTTGACCTTCTGCATGCCAAGTTACGCAAAAAAACAGGATTTCTGGTCACTGTAGCAGCCAATTCTTTGCTATTTACTTCTGTCTCCTCAGTCAGAGGATCTGCTCAGAATGATGTAATACAGTGAAGGCCAAGTAATACATGTGGAACAGTTTCTCAGCTATCCATATGGATTCTGTAGGCAAGTAACAGTCACTCTTGGCCCAAACCTTTCACTTCCTTCATGCATTGTGGGAACTGCTAATACAGAAGAACAATCTTATATCTATTTATACTTGCATATTCCTGTCATGAGAGCACAGATTACTTTCAGGATCATCTTTCAGGGAAATCCCTGGATCTGTCCAGCACCAGTTACCAATATAAATTATACCATTCATAGAGCACCATCACATGAATACACATTTCTCAAGTTCCAAACCAGACATTTTCCCCTTAGCATCCAAAAGGGAACAGAAAATCCAGACAGTGGGTAAAACATGGGCACTTACGGTAGGAGCCATCAACACTGATCTCATCGCTGATTACCAGACAGGTGATCTGGGAATATGGAAGAGGATTATTCCGGTTGTAAGGGCTTACGATCATTCCAATGAACAGGGCACCACCCCTGGAGAAATAGCTCTAAAAAGCCAAAAACACACACCACAATCACATACCAAAATCCAACCTTTTTCCAGAAGAGCATTCTGAAATGCAAGAAACAGCATTTCTGTCAATTTATGACTGAGCTGACTCAAGATCACACTGCCTCAAGTGTGTTACTCCAACCTCTCCTGGTGCAATTGCACTGTTAAATGCAATGCGCACGACTGTACTCCAACTCTTTGTAATCATTAAGGAGAGAAGCAACCAGGAGTTACCACCACATAAATGGTTGGAAATAGACCATATGTGGACAACAAACAGTATCTACTTCACAGTGCTGTTACACAAGAGGTTCAAAATTCTCCTCCTGCCAAGCAGAACTAAAATGACTCTGTAGTCATTGAGGTTGGAAAAGACCTCCAAGATCACTGAGTTCAACCTCTGGCCAACCTTGTCAGCTAGACCAGAGCACTAAGTGCCATGTCCAGTCGTTCCCTGAACACCTCTAGGGATGGTGACTCCACCACCTGCCTGGCAGCCCATTCCAATGCCTGACAGCTCTTCCCGTGGAAAAATTCCTCCTGATGTCCAACCTGAACCTCCCCTGGCACAGCCTGAGGCCATTTCCTTTTGTCCTGTCACCTGTTCCCCACCTGGCTGCACCCTCCTGCCAGGTGTTTGTGGGGAGCAGTAAGGTCCCCCCTGAGCCTCTTTTACTTCAGGCTGAACCCCTCCAGCTCCCTCAGCTGCTCCTGGTGCTCCAGATCCTTCCCCAGCTGCATTCCCTTCTCTGCACATACTCCAACCCCTCCAAGTCTCTCTTCCCACGAGGGCCCAGAACTGGAGGCAGCACTCCAGGGGCCTCACTGGTGCCAGGGGCCGGGGCTGCCACTGCCCTGGGCCTGTGAGCACAGGCTCTAAGCTGCCTTGGAGCAATCATGTGCTAACACTGCAAATACCACAGAGGCTCTAGGGTTATTTTTTAGCTCTTGCCACGTTATTGCTGTACCTGGTACTTAGCCTGAGTGTCAATGTCTCGTATGGAGGGGTTGGGGTCGAATGCCGGGTGGGAATGGTACCATCCAATGACCCGGAATCCCCTGGCTGCCAGTGCTTCCGAAGCCTGGGTCTGGGACACTGGATCCATCTCACACTGCAGGCCTGTGCTCAGGCTGTTGCAGGGCTCTGCTGCACACACCTGTGAAACAAACCTCCATCAGTTAAAAACTTCCAGAACTCTAAGAGTCATGTTGCAGATCATGATGGAGCTGAGAGCCCAACACTTCAAGAACCCTAACATTTCAAGACTGCAGTAATCAGCTTCAAGCTACTGAATTCGCTGCCCTATAGAAATGACATGTACATCTATCCAAGTTTATGTATTCTATCAGTTGTAATACTTTAGAAAAAATGTGAAAAAACAAGCACTTACTTCCACAACTTTATCAGCTTCAGAGTACCTTCCCCCCAGCAGCCCTATCACTTCTGCCAGAGAAACGTGAGAGTGCTGCAATGAGATGAAACAGGCAGGAAAGGTGTGTAATTTCTCCTAGTTTTGCTCTGCACACCACAGAACACATCAGCCTCACAGCTACAAGTCAGTAACTTCTCAAGGGCATTTAGAAGGAAAACTCAGGACAGCTCAAGCCTCTCAAATACTCTGTGTTTCCATGTAGAGCAAACAGAAAAGATTACATTTGCTTATTATTAACAGTGCAAGGGTTAATTCCATACATGAGGCAATGCTGGTTCAAATGAAGCCTGTGCTGAACTACTGCACACATTTTGGTACAAACTCTTGTTCTGAAAAACCCAAATATTGCTTTGTAAATTCCCAGACCAACAGAAAATGAAGCCATAGATTTCAGAGGGCAGGTTGTCTCAGGAAATTGCTTTAAGCAAATTAGATTTAAAGTATGACACAGAGTAGCAAGTAGCAAAGCTCTTAGTTTTTCTAGAAGGCAAATGGTTGTACACTAAATGCAATATAAAAAACATGAATCTTTAGGGGTTTTATTTAATAAGAGATTCTCACTTCTAGGTCTGACCAGAAAGAAACCCAGAATGGTTTGGGTTGGAAGGACCCAATAATTGGAAACACCACCTAGCTCCCACCCCTACCATGGGCAGAGACACCTTCCACTAGATCAGGTTGCTCCATTCAACCTGGCCTGGAAGACTTCCAGGGATGAGCACCCTCAGCTTCTGGGAGCAAACTGCTTCAGTTTCTCTGTCTTCCTATGTTGCTCATTAAAAAAACAACACCACCGCACATACACCATAGAAAGACAAAACTTAATCCTCACCAAATCCATTATTAAAAGTGCTTCAGAAGACACTTTGACCTGGAAAGGTTCCTGAAATGATGAACACAATAATGAGCACAAGAAAAGTGCCCAAAGGGGTGAAGTCTCTTGGTAACTCTCTCCCAGGTACGTACCTGCTTTTCCTCTGTGAACACACAGCAAGGTATCAGCTGAAAGGGATCAAAGGAACTATAAAATGAAAGAAAATGTCTCTAAAGATGTAGGACAGTAAGGAAACTTTTCCAGTTTCCCACTGTCTCCTTGGCACAGGAGGAATAACCTCATCTTCCTTACTGGATTTGTTCATCCCACACTAGGATGACTTCCAGCAAATAGAGAACCATCACTACCCACACTCATGAATTCCAACAGGGAACCGCTGAAATCCATCCCTGCTATTTCAGACCACAACACATATTAATGCTTTGCAGTGTTCCAGCCTCACCCAAGACATTTGTTCAACTTCTAGCACATCCATGTCTGATCACATCAAATACCTTTTTATTTGTCTCGAACCTTTAGAAGACTTGGCAGGTTTCAGTTTTTCTTCCTCTCTCCTTCTTGCCAATTCCTCAGCTGAGAGATGCTGAAATGATTTTTAAAATTATGTTTTAATGTCTGAAGTACTTTTCCAGCTGTGAAAACCAGACCAGAATTAACTGTTAACACTGCTGTCCTCTCAATATGCTGTGCTGGTGTGTGTTACTCCAAACTAGGTATGGCATTATAATTTCATGGAAGTAATGGTTACAGGTAATTCCTGAAAGCTGAAAATTCAAGTGGTTTTCTATGCAAGAAAAATTGGAGGTTTATAGTTATTCGCTTTTCATATAATTTGTAATTGTAGAATGGACAAATGAGGATTTTCTTTCCAATTCTTCTATAAAATATTTAAACCTGTATGAATTTTTTAAGCACTTCATAAACCACAGAAGTTTCTGGGGATATTGCTGGTAGCAGAACTAATATGAGGAACTCATTATCACCTGCATAATGAGCACAAAGAAACCACAGAGGACTGAAAAATAACATTTAAATGGTATTCTCCCATTCCTACTATTAGTTTTAAGGCCAAATTGAAAACAAAGGGTTGTGAAATCTCCCACAGGCCAAGACAAAGAGCTTTATGGGCACAAAACCCCTTTGCAAACACCAAATGCAGTTGTGTCTATCAGCAGCAGGAAGATGTACTGCATCATTTCCAGATTATTGCTTCCACAAAGAGAGGTGAAGTCCCTGACACAACTGTCTCCTTGCCTTTTTGATGTAACAAAGAACTTAAAGGGTTACCTCAAATGTTTGTCCTTCCAAATCCTTTGCATCACACCAGTTTCCCCACGGGTCTCGCACTCGCCGTCTCCTCGTACGCTGCAGCAAGAAACCACCATGAGTCAAGATCTGTGTCCTGAAAAACCTGCACTTACTCATCTGAGCAGCCAGGAAGACATTGTCCACAAGGTTACTGCCACAGGAATGTTACCAACACCATGACACATTCCCAGAAGAGAAAGAACACCCTGGAGCTCTGCAGAATCAAGCAGCTCATGATCTGTCACGAACCAGTGAAGGATTCAGTTTTTAAGGTTGTTTTTAAGGCTTGTTGGTGTTTCATGAAACATCAGCATCCCTGAAAGCAACAGGGCACTGTTGTCCAGCTCTGGATTATTGCTCACACAACACAAAAAGCAATAAAACCAGTCAGTTTACATCCAGTGGATGCTACTTCTTTTTATATTCAGTTGGATTGATCTAGTTTTTCTCTCACCAACTTATTTATTTTGCTGCGAAGTACTTAAAACCCCAACATGAAATGTGAATATGAAAATTAACTCTGGCAAGCCTTGGTAATTCACACAGTTATAAATGAGTCACTCCTGCACTTCATTGTGTGCATAAGTCTCTGAGTAAGTTGTAACATACACCTAACAATATTTAACAGTCAAAATGCAACATGATCACACAGCCATTTTCAGTACTTCTGGCTGATGAATTATGGAGAGGTGGGGAACAGAGGGTTAGGGGAAAGCCTGAAACCTGAAGCACAACTGTAGTTAAGTACCTGAACACATGTAAGGGAACAGGTGTTAGGGCAAACACCTGTCAGACAGCAGAACCCATACCTAGACTGAACTCAAATCACAGGAAACTATGAAACTCCAACCTCAGCAAGAGGAGAAATGTCCTCAAGTGCCCTGGCTTAGAAATGAGACCTGAAAGGCCCTGCTGCATGCTGAAGGCTTTATGCTGCCTCCACCTCCCTCCCCAGGACATACCATGGACTGCAGGCGCTGCGCGAGCTGATAAGCTTCCACCGTGTCCCTGCCCTCCCTGGAGCGTGTTCTGTCAGCAGCCTGGGGACGGTTGTACACGGCCTGGTCTGCAGGGCACAAGAGAGACTCTGCATGTCAGTGAGGCACAGAGCCACTGAGCACTGCTACACACACAGCAATGACACATGGAACTGATAACTGCAAACGCCATGAAGAAAAGAGCAGCAAAACCCTTCGCAGCTAAAAGACATCCCTTGCTGGTCACAATTCTGCCTGACTACACAGCCCTCTGCCACTGCCACAGCACTTCTGAGACAGGAAAACAGCCTTCCTTATTGTTAGTTTATTTATAATAACTTCACTTCAGACAAAATGTATTTGCAGGACATTGATACTCTCCTTGGTGACTGTCATTTGGCTTGGGACCACAATCCATCCAGAGACTATAAAACAACACTAAGTCACAGGTGTGTATATACAGCTCATGTGTAACCTGATTTTAACGTTTGAATCTTGTAAAACCTAGCCCTGAGGATTAAGACATTGGTGTTTTATTTTGGAACTAGTTATAACTTAGTGTGGGAAAAGAAAGAGTAACTTGAATCCTGTCTTAGAAGGAAGGAGGGCAGAATGTCAGATCCAGCAGCTATCAGGACACACAGAAGAGCACAAAAAAATCCAGCCCCCCAGCTCTTGTGTGGCTGAACATGAGGGAGGGGGAAAAAAGCCAGAAAAACAGAAGAAAAGGTTTTGTGTAAAACAAAAAATCCAAATCCTGTAAGCAGGTCACAAACTTCTCTGGATTTTCCGAGGTTATGAGAGACAATGTGTTTGGAAGGTCCTTCCTAGTGAGGATGAGTGTGTGAGCAGGACACCCTAACATCAGGCAGTCCTTCAGTATTATACCAACATAGTCTACTTATTGATTCCAATAACAATATCTTTACCACAGCCAAAGTTAATTGCTCCTATTAATTCCAGGTACGTATGGATCCGACCGATGCAGTTGACGTCACCGCAGTTCTTCAGGCCTGGCCGCACTGAGGTCTTGTTCAGGTATTTGGGTTTACATCTCTCCCTAAAAGAAAGTACAGCAAGTTGTCAAAGAGTAGAATACATCATGGAGGGAGGAAGGAACTGCGTGAGTAACTGAAGTCCTGCAGTTTTCACTCTCTATACACTTACTAATTCCTTTTAAACTGATACTGAATTTTTTCAGTCCAACACTTCTCTGGCATCGAATTTAATCTCTGTGCAACTAGAACAAGCTGCCAGTGCAAAGATAACTGAATGAGGGCTGAGCTAAACTAAGGAATTCTTTCTACTTAAAAGCAACCCAAGCAACACAACAAGCACCCAAACCAAAACTGGTAACAGAACAAACTGTATCTTGAGCCTGATACCACAAATCACTCCATTCCTTGCACCAGTTCTTTGGAGAGGGAATAGAAAATATTCAAGTGTACAAGCACTACTCCAAACCGATTCTTAATCTGAGCCTTCTTTTGGTCAACAACAATCTAGCACAGATTGTTTCTGCCTGCTGTCCTTCTGTAAAGGCAGAGCTACAATGCCACAGACCTCATCACAGAATTGAGGTCATCAGTTATTCTGAGGAGCCATTTATTAAAACCATTCTTACACATAGGATGGCAAAAACTGGAAGAAAATAACATAACCAAAATGGATGCAGCTTGTTCCAGTACTGGACATTCATTTTCATAATGCTTCAAAGTATTTTCATTGCTTAGCTTCCAGAATGCCAGAAAAAAAAGAATGGGAAGATGCTAAAGAAGCATTAATAATGAGTGGTGCTCCCTGGTAAGCTACCAGGTAATTGTACTCCTTTCAGAACTAAGCTGTTAGTGCCAAGGAGCATTTGAGCTACCACAAACCAGGACATTTTAATCACTTACTTCAGTAAAAGAAATCAATGCATCTTACCACTGATCCAAAATGTAATTCCTGATTTTCAGGTACCGCTCTGGAGTCTTGGCCTGGCGCCCTTCGAAGAACTCGGGAATAGCCTGCTTCTCCTCGTCCAGAATGACACTCCTGTCAACCTCCACTTCCTGCTCAGGTGGCTTCAGCTCCTCTGCTTCCTCTTGGTGATCCTCATCTGCTTGGCAGGGAGAAGGAAAGAGCAATCCATTCCCAGCCAGGTCTCTTGGCTGCTCCCTGAGCTCCTGGCCAGCTACTTGCCCAGTACCACAAGGTGTTACCAGTGTGCCTTGCTCAGCTTTCTCAATGCAATTACTGTACTGCTGGTAAGCTAAATTCACACATTTATCACCATTCAGGTGCTGAGAACATGTTGCTACCAGAGCAGGAAACACTAATGTATCCACTGTATCTTGCTTGGTGTGTTGAGGACCTTCTTTAGGTAAAACAACTGCAGAACTGTGAGCAGCAGAGGGAAAACCATGTTCCGTTCCTTTTGTTTCTTCAACTGGGCTTTTTGGAAAAGCAGGTACATCAGATTTCCCAGTTTCCTGCTGGAGGGTAGGAGGAAGTATTTCATCCATGTCATCAGTTATGTCTACTTCTTCATCATCTGAGAGTTTTTCAATTTTCACTGCATTCAGATTGGGGTCTGCAAGGCCTCTCAAGATTCCAGCTCCTGCCCTTATCCCATCCTCAGTGGGAAGACTGCTCCCATGCTGTCTTGGCTCTTCCTTTTCAGAATCACCATTTTTTGCCTTAGGAAAATATAAAATACTTTTAGGAGGGGAAAAACAAAACATTCCCATGTGTCTTCCCAATGATCAGAGCTATTTTATTTGAACAGCAGATACTCTGAAGTGTTCCTTCCTCATCTTAACCCTTTGCATATAGTTTACTCCACTGCAACTGATTTTACACAGCATTAGAGGTGAACTGTAGTCCAAGCATAAACTGCATGTATTTCCAGTCAAAAAATCTCCCCAAAATCTTAAGTGAGGCTAAAGCCAATACTACAACATACAGCAGGAACAGCTGTAGAGCGGAACACAAGTATTTTAAGACTAACAATCAACAATGTAAGAGCCCACAATTATACTACATTTATTATTTAGTTATACCACAAAAAAATGCTGTTCATTGTAGGAATCTGCAACTCAGACTTCACATTTAAATCTGCAAATAAGCATATTCCACTTTTCTGAACATGGGAGTGAATAGAGTCTGTGCTTTGCCAACAGTGCCCTGAAAGGACAGGTGAAAACCAAGATACATGTACAGCAGCATGTCTGTCCAACAGCCTTTTTGCTAACTCCAGAGGTCTCTGTGTACCTTGTTCTTAAAATACTGCCGAGCATAGCTCTTCACTTGGAGAACAGTTCGACTCCCAATCAACTTGGCAATCTTTGTCCATCGACGGCCAAATTTCACCTAATACAGCAAAGCACAGTGAAGTTACCCAAAGTCTGACATTCCAGACACTGCACTTCATGTCCCAAAGAGTTTAAAACCCCGATGAGTCATTAAAATGCACAAACAGTACAGAAAACTCATGGTAAAGGACCTCACTGTTCGTGTTCTACTCACACGAACATGGCAGCCAACAGTAATTGTTGTTACTCTTCTTAACTAGAGGATCTTCTCCACCCAGCTCAGGCACTCTGCAGATTGTGCTGCCTGCTATCCCAAGGAATCCTACTGAAATGGGTTTGTGCACAGCAAAGCAAACCTTACTGCATTCAGCACTGTGCAGCCATAGAACCACACAAGCACAGAATTGGTCAGGGTGGGAAAGAGCTCCAAGATCATCCAGTCCAACCTGTGACTCATGACACCCTGTCAACTTGACCAAAGCACTAAGTGCCATGTCCAGTTGTTCCTTGAACATCTCCAAGGATGGTGACTCCACCACCTTCCTAGACAGCCCCTTTCGATGCCTGACCACCCCTTCCATGAAGAAATTATCCCTGATGTCCAACCTGAACCTCCCCTAGCATAGCTCGAGGCCATGTTCTCTTGTCCTGTCACTTGTTGCTGGAACACAGCAACACATTTTCCAAAGACCTACTAACAGCAGTTGAAGGATTTCCCCTTATTAACTGATTTGCCTTAACAACACACTATACATCCCACAGTTGCCTACAGCACAGTAATTGTACAACTCATAATGCTGAATGTTTCAGCTACTTTGTGATCTCAAATTGTCATCAGTCTCACATGAACCAAACCTAGCAAAGAAAACCATTTTGGGGGATTCGCCAATATGAATTTCATTTATCACGACACCCTTTGTAGACAGCAATTATGTTTAACAAATTAGAAGCACAAAAGCAGAAGTCAAAAACTGCAACATACTTATTCACAGTAACTACTTTACTATTTAAGACGGACTAATGAATTCAATTAGAAATAGAACATACAGAATCACAGAATGTTAAGGGGTTGGAATGGACCTGACAGATCACCCAGCCCCAACCTCCTGCCCTGGGCAGGGACACCTCCCACCAGAGCAGGTTGCTCAAGGATTTATCCAACCTGGCTTTGAACAATGCCAGGGATGGGGCATCTGCTACCTCCCTGGGCAACCTGTGCCAGTGTCTCACCACCCTCACAGGGAAAAACTTTTTCCTAATATTGAGCCTGAATTTCTCCTCTTTCCCCTTGAATCTGTTCCCCCTTGTCCCATCACTGCAGCTCCTAAGCGTCCCTCTCTGGATCCTCTGTAGCCCCTTCAGATCCTGGCAGGTTGCTATGAGGTCTCCACACAACCTTCTCTTCTCCAGGCTGAACAGCCCCAACTTCCTCAGCCTGTCTTATATACTTTTATATTTTATGTATGCAAACTCACCAGTCCTTGTTCAAACAGCTCTTTCTCCTCCACTGTCCACTTCAAGGAGCAGCCAGGTGGTTTTGCAGGTGATCGCACCCTAGAGAAGGAGGAAGAATTAGTGCTTTCCTAAAAATCCCAGTAACTCAAGGCACCTTCTGACAGGACAACTCCCCATCTATGGTAAAACTCAGAGTATTGTTTAAACGTGAATGTATAAACATAATAAATAAAATACTGAGAATCATGTCAGCTTCTCCATCACGAAGGAAGACTCATGGCAACTCAGTACTTACCAGTGACTGGTGGTACAGAAATACATAAAAACAGCAAACAGAAAAGTTCAGGCAAAAAAACCCAACTGGAATTAACAAAATTTTTTTCTTAAAGATCACTGTGCTACAAAAAAAAACCTAAAAAGCAGATTACTACACGGCTATTATTACACACAACAATATTTCTTCCCATTGAAAGGTCTCTTAAACAATTTTGCACAGCCAAACAAAAGGAACTGCAGGTTTTTCTTTGAACTAGTACCTGGTAACTTAAAAAAAACCAGACAACACACCCAAAAATGAAAGCAAATCATTAAACTATACGTACATGACTTTTCCAGTTTTCTTATGTGGGCTGCAAAGAAAGCAGAGTGAAAATAAAGATAAGTAATGAATGCTATTGCATATCTCAGGAAATAACCTTATTTTAGAAGGACTTCTCATTTCTACTCATCTAACAGAATTTTTCCCAGGCACAGCTTACCTTTTCTGAGATCTTTTCTCCACTTCCTTCTGGCTGAGCCATATTTTTTCAGGAAGAGATTTATTAGATAAATAGTATCTGAAATAGTTGCTAAGTAAGTTTTGGAAGCATCAGAGATATTTGCACACGTGAGAATTCTAACAGTCGTACAAATTATCCTAGTTCAGAAGGATCCAGCTGTAGAAGCAACTGCTGCACTGTTTCTACAACAAAAGGTGACAGAGTTTGGTCACCTCTACAAGAAAAGATTTGTCCAGTTCCTCTAGAAACAGGAAGGTTTTGAGTGTTCCAACAGGAAAACATGAAATCAGCAAAAGGATACTCTTCTTCCAGCAACATCTTCTCAATGACAGCTCTGTTCTCTTCACTAATGCTGCTGTCCAATGTCCAGGGCTGCAAACAACACAGGGATGTTTTAGTATTGGGATTATTGAGAATAAATAGATAATAATTTCTACAAGAAAGGAAAAAGCACTGGGGAAAAGCCTTGAAAGAGCAAGTACATGGAGGGGAGAGAATGCAGAAGCTCTGAAAACCGTGCTACAACCACCATTCATTTAAAAATACTCACAAGGCCGTTGTCAGTTCTCCAGGATGAATCAAGGTAGTGATCCTGCAGCAAGCCTGATGCTGTGTTTCCATGATCCCTGAAAGAGATTTCAGCATTCAAAACAACTGCATTTTTAACACCACAAGTGTCACTGTGCTGTATTATCTCCACTTAACATTTCTACTCCTTTCCCTCAGTAAGCGAAAAACACTTTCTTGCAAAAACAAGCCTGAGGAAAGTTCATACTTACACAAGGATTAACAGAATCCTGTCACAGTTAGTTAGAATCACAGAAGGGAATCCTGGAATGGTTTGGGTTGGAAGGAACCCTAAAAATCATCTGATTCCCACCCCCTGCCATGGGCAGGGACACCTCCCACCAGCCCAGGTTGCTCCAAGCCCCATCCAGCCAGGCCTGGAACACTTCCAGGGATGGGACAGTCAGTTTCTCTGGGCAACCTGTGCCAGTGCCTCAGCACCCTCACAGGGAAGGATTCCTTCCCATTATCTAATCTAATGCTCTTAAAGACTTCATCCAGTTTATGCCTGATCTTTTCTGTAACTAACTACTTATCAGAGATCTGTCACTGATTAACTTAATCAACTTCTTTTTATTTCCATGCAGTATAAAATCTCCTTAGTAACTCATGTTACATGAGAAACATGTACATTAGTAACTCATGTTACTCATGTTCTCAAAAATATTTGCTTCCAGAGCATTCAGACTTTTCTAGCAACTAATTAGGCCTTCATCCCCTGCAGTGCTACTAATTAAACTCACCCACTACTCCAAAATGCTCTGTGCCAGCACTGCAAACATCTCTCTATAGGTGGTTAAGGACACGTACAGCCAGAAACCAACACAGCTCCTGTTGAGCCTTGGGAAGAGGCAGCTCAGGGTGACCCTACGGCTCTCGACAGCTACCTGAAGGAGGCTGTGGAGAGGCTGTGGATGGTCTCACTGCCATAGCTGCAGGGAGAGGACCAGAGGGAATGGCCTTGAGCTGAGTCAAACCGGATGTTAGGAAAATTTGTTTTCCCTGTTAAGAGAGTTCAGGCAGTGGAAAATATTGCCCAGGGAGGTGATGGAGTCACCTTCCCTAGAAGTGTTTAAGAGGTGTCTGGATCTGGCAATGGAAGATATGGCTTAGGGGTCACAGCAGCGGCAGGTGAAGGGCTGGACTGGACGACCTTAGAGGTCTCCTCCCACCCTGAAGACAGCAGGATTCCCCCGGAGCATCCCAGGATCAGCGTGGGATCAGCACGCAGCAGTGGCAGGAGCTCCC